CAGCAGGCTGGGAGAGCTGGGGGTGTCCAGCTGGAAAAGAGAAGGCTCCAGGGAGACCTCAGAGCCCCTTCTAGTGCCTATAGGGGCTCCAGGAGAGCTGGAGAGGGACTTTAGACCAGGGCCTGGAGGGGCAGGACAAGGGTAAATGGCTTCCCAGTGCCAGAGGACAGGGTTAGATGGGATATTGGGCAGGAATTGTTCCCTGTGAGGGTGGGCAGGCCCTGGCACAGGGTGCCCAGAGCAGCTGTGGCTGCCCCTGGATCCCTGGAAGTATTCCAGGCCAGGCTGGATGGGGCTTGGAGCAACCCATGACAGAGGGTGGAAGGTGATGAACTTTAAGGCCCCTTGAGGCCCAAACCATTCTATGATTCCATTATTATCCCCTGCCTCTTTATAAAACTGCTTAAAATGGGGGTTTGGATGAAAATGGGCTCATGGATTCTGCCAGTGACGACTCGGCATCACCAAAAGCAGATTGTGTCTGTTGCTCTGAGAGCTTTCTTGGGTGCCTGGCAGAGGGATTTGGAGGAGGGGGCTGGGGCAAGCTGACATTGCTCCTGGGGGTCCCCCAGGTCTTGCCATCTCTGGAGTACAGCTGCCTGCAGAGTGCTGGGAATGGCACTCTGGCCAGCTGCCAGATTTTACCAATTGGAGGAAACCCATGGGAATATTTATGGTGTTGGACTTTGATTTGTGAGCTAGAATCATGCTCTGAGCTAGAGATACCAGATTAAAAACAAACCAACCCAGAAGCAGGTGAGTAACAGCTGTTTACCTCCTGCTTTGTCTTCCCTTGCCAGGAGTCTGTATCTGTGCTCAACCTCTTCACCAGGATACGATAAACCCCCTCCCTGTGCCCCGGGAACCTACAGCCTGACATTCCAGGATCAGACCACTCCCTCGGCGTGCATGGACCTCCAGAGCCCAGCCAAAGGGAGGGAGAGCCGTGGGACTGCAGGAGGATCCAGCTCATTAAATATGTGCTTGTGACCCACAGGGCTGGGCAGTATTTGGGATGGGGTGGGGAGGGGAGGGAACTGCCAAAGGTTATCAGATTCATCGTTCATAAAGGGAAACGGGTACAAGAGAAATGTTAACCCAGCATCCTCCAGCCGTCAGGATGGTACTGGGGAGGACTCGTGTGACATGGACCATTGAGACTGGACCCAGGCCATCCCCACTGCCATGGTGTGCCTCCTGCAAGAGAGGAGCATATCCTTGCTGCTGTGGGAAGGGGTTTCACGTGCTGCTCTGTGTCCCAGAGTAGCATCTCTGGAGGCAGGAGCCAGCCAGACTGGTCCGGTACAGCTGGTGCAAGGGGCACAGCTCCAGGCTGGGCATCTAAGGGCTTTGTTCATAGCCTGGCATCCCCATTCCAGGAAGAAACTGGAGAACTGCCTATTTTCCTTTTTTTTTTCTTTATTTTTCCCCCCAGACAGGTACTGTAGTACTTGACATGATCATTCCATAAGACAGCTTGATTTTTTTGGGCATGCTTGACAGCTGCCTCCGAACAAACACACTTTGGGGCTGTAGACTTCGGAGGAGACTTGAAAAAGCTTCACCTCTAAGGGAGAAGATTTGGGAAGTTCTGCAGTTGCTATTTCATGTTCGGGGCTGATCCTGGGAGTTACCAGAGAGCAGAAGCAAGGACTTTATAAAAAAAGAAACCCACCCAACCACCTGTGCATGTGGAGCTTCCTTTGGTGCTGCTGTATGGGTGCCTTGCTCTGGAGTCTCCCTGAGGCCAAAAGCATTTGGGATGTGTTTGAGAAAAAAAAAATAAATCCTAAAGATCTGATTTTTGGGGTGAGCAGGGCCTCTTCTGGCTGGAAGAGGGGTTCTCCTGAAGCAGGGCTGCAGCACTGCTTTTTCGTTATCTCCAAGTCCCACACAGGGCCCTGCTGTTGAGTTTTGGTGTGTGGTTTGGGGTTTTTAGGTTGTGTGGGACGAGAGTTCTGGCTGGTGTTGGAGCCCATGGGGTGTAACATAAATGTTCTTTGTGTGTGTGTGGTGCTTTTAATTTAAGAGAAGCTGTGAGGCTGCACAGCCTGTTCCATCTGACCTGTGCCTGCCCTGCCCAGGCCCTGCCTGCCTCCTGCCCTCTCCCAGCGTTGCTTCCTGTTCCCATGTGGAATTCCCTGGCTGTGTACATAGACTTGTCTTCCCTGTGTAGATTGCATAGGTAATGCTTTCCCTTTCTTTTTTTTCTTTGTTGTTTTGTCTGCTCTCCCTTCTTTCTCTAAAACCAGGTGGTAGGAATATGATTGCCTGTCCCCAGTACCACCAGTATCCTTAGGGTGAGCCAAGGTGTGAGAAGGCCAATACAGCCTTGACCACGTGTGCCATCACGCCAGTGCCTGGATCAGGCTGGTGGTGCTGTCCCTGTGTCACACATACTGGGAGTCACTGGTGAGGAGCTGGTGCTGGGAGCCCCCTGGCAGCTCTGAGTCTCCCAGGCCCGCATGCCACTTTGTCATCTCACAGTCTCACTCCCCACCAAAATGGAATTTCCATGGAGTTTCTGAAACACTGTTTGAGTGCAACTGCTTTAGTGCAGCTCTGGCCGTGGGATGTGAGGCATGGTTTGAAGTTGCCCTCTGGCCTGTCTTGTGTTGTTTGTTCCACTTGTGGACACTGTTCCACATCACCGTGGGTTGGGAGCACCCCAAAGCACCCAGGAGGTGTTAAGTAGGATCTTTCAGCTGGGGAATGGGTTTGAAGTAAAGGGTGATCTGTAGGAAGAGGTGGTCTGTTGTGGGTATCATCACCTGGGGAAAGGGCTGTTCAGGGTGCTGGGGAGGCTGGTGGCTGTGCTCTGGCTTTTCCTGTTGTGGATTGCCTCCTGCTAAATAGCACTGTGCAGACCCCCCAGGACACACTGCTTTCTCCTCTGGGAGGGTGTAGGTGCTTGGGCTGGGGGCACACAGGAGGTCTCAGCCCATTCTGGAGCAGGACTGGAGTGTATGGTTGGGCTCCCCAGTGCGCTGGGGCTCCACAGGAGTGTAATTGCCTCTCCCCCTGTGATGGGGGAACTTCGTTAAGGAGTCCCAGAAGATGCTGGGGGGAGTGGCAGTGATGTGGGGTGGGCAGTGCCAGGTGGGCATTGCAGCTGCTGCCTAGTGTTCCCAGCTGCAGAGTAGGGATAGCTCTTCATTGCTCTGTCCCCTACCGCTGTCCCTTCTTGCCAAGGACTTTCCCAGACTGCATCTTGTGTCTGCATCTTGCTTTTCTGTCTGCCTTGGTAGGTTGGCTCGTGGTGTCTTTTCTTCCTGCACTTGGCAGGGAGGCTGGTGATTGCCAGGCCAGGGCTGTTCTGTCTTGGTGACAGCATGGCAGGAACAGGCTGCTCCCCCTGACCTTGCTGTCAGCCCGGTACTGCCACCTCTGCCCCGCTGCCAGGCAGGGGCTCTCAGTTGTATCCGTGTGGAGGTGGGTGTGTGCAAGTGTCTCAGGGTTGCTACTGTCACTGTCACCGCTGCTCAAGAGAGAAAAGGGCAGAGCTGAGGTGATGTGTCAGTGTGTGTGACCCGTGGGCACTGGCTCGGGCACAGGGTCCTCCCAGAGCTGGGTGACAAAGTCTGTGGCATCATTGTATCCCAGGTGTCATGTGATGGAAAACAAACGTGGAGCACGCTGTAACTCTTTCTTGTAAAGCAACTGAACTGGCATTAAACAGGTTGTGAATTTACTGGGATTGGTCTCCATGGCTCCACTTTGCTTCTCCACAGCAAAGGGTGCAGCAAGTCACCAGAGTCCTCACCCCACATCTGCAGGGTACCAGTTTTATTGGCACAGATCTCACCTGCAGTTTATTGCTCCCAGCTTCCCGCTCCTGTTTGCTTTCCTGCTGTTGGGAAAGGGCACAGCCCCCATCCCTGCCCTGCCATGTGCCCCTTGACATGGCAGGAAGGAGGAAAAGGGGTTCCTGGCCTGGCACAGCCCCTCCTTGCTGTGGGGCAGTTGCTAGGGTATAGCTGCAGTGAGACTGGGGGTGCAGAGCCCCTCGGTCCTGCTGGTCCTGCTGTCCCCATGCAGGTGGGACCTCACAGAGGGGGCACCCCCTCCCTGGGCACCTCTCCAGTGGGGTACAGCCCTGTGCCTTGTTCCAGCCTTTGGGAGGGACATGGAACCCTGGCAGCTCCCTCCCCCACTGACTGGTGTCTGATGCTGTGGGGACCAGGCCTGCTGCTGCCCCGGGCTGGGTGGTGTGGGGCAGAGCTGCTCCATGGGGCTGAGCAGCAGGATGAGGAGAGGGAGGATCCCTGACCTTGGCATCTCCCACTGCTGCTGTCCCAGGCACGGAGCTGAGCTGTGGGTCTGAGCAAGGGAAGGCCCAGGAAATGGCATAGAGAAAGGAGCTGTCAGTGCCTCCGTTTCTCCATCTTGGTGCTTGGGGAAACACCTAGGGCCCCTTAACTGGCCTAGAAAGGGATTAAGCTCCAGGGCTTTGGGCTGGGTGGATCCTTCTGTGGGGTGCAGGTACTGCTGTGCCCCCAGCTCTGCTCCCACCCCCAGTTTATGCTCAGAACCTGTGGGAACCCATTGTCCCCACTGTGTACCTGTGACCCTACACCTTCCTCTGTCAGGTGAGCCCCATCCTAGGGAAGGAGCAGGATAAGAGCTAGGGCCTGGCCAGCTGCAGGCCCTGGGGCTCCCTGGTGCCCCCCTCACCACCCCCTTCCCCTCTGTCTCCCACTGTCACCAGCAGCCAGTGCCCCAGGGGGCTGCTCAGGGTCTTCTGCTGCTCCCTGGACCCCTGGGACATCAGCACCTGGAGCTGCCTCCCCACACCAGTCAGAATCAAAGCCCCTGGTCCTGCTGTGTCCTGGTGTGTTCTGGGAAATGGGGTGCATGAGGGACTGGTTCATGCTCATCTTGGGGCATCTGGCCCAGCAAATAATAAATATTAATATAATATAGACTTTTATTAATCTTTATTAATAGAATATTTTGTTCTCTGTGCCCCTGCCTTGCCTGGGGCTTGGCCCCCTCTGCCTGCTCCTTCTGGGCAGGGAGGGCTGGCTGGGGGCTGCTGCTGACTCCAGCCCCCCCTTCCCTGCTTTCTGCCCCACTGGGAGCTCCCTGGGTCTCTTCTGCTGCTGCTCAGGGTGGGCAGACAGGGAGAGATGGAGCCTCTCAGCCCGTGGGCTTCCCAGGCATTGTGGGGAGCTGGAAGGCACTTGGTGACAGAGCCCCCCGAGAGGCCAAGGAAGGGCTCGGAGCAGCCCCTGAACCCCCTGACCCCGGCTGGAGCGCTGGTGATGGTCCTCAGTGGCCTCACGTCTTGTACCTGGGGGGAGGCAGGGTGAGGAGGAGCCTGCTGGGGACAGAGCCCCCCCACGCCCCCCACTCACTGCTGTGACAGGTTGAGGCCTGGCCCAGCCCCCGCGAAGGACAGCTGCTGCTCCAGCTCCGCGATGCGCAGGCCGATGTACCCCGAGGACAGCAGCAAGGCCACCATGCTGGGGACAGGCCAGTGTCAGCCAGGGGGCACAGGGTGGCACTTAGGGCAAGGAGCAGTGCCACGGGCACTGTGTGCTCACCCTGGGGATGGGGGTCTGAGGGGACATGTAGGAACCCCGGCCTGCCAGGGCCACCCTGTGTCAGTAGGGATGGGGACCGGTGCTGGGAGCAGGTGCTGGGGACTCACATCAGCAGGTAGATGATGATGATGACGTTGACAGAGCTTAGCTGGGGATTTATCCGGGACCAAAGTGCAGTGGCCCAGGCCCAGAGCACGGCGTGGGGTCTCCCTGCCAGGACAAGGCAGTGTTAGTGGCACTGAGAGTCTGTGCTCAGCTCTGCCAGGGTGTAAACCCCCAGGACCATCCCCCCCATCCCGAGCCCTCTGACCCACCCCAGAGGCCACGTCTCTCTGCTGAGGGCACCCATTTGCTGCTGCTGGGAACCAGCTGGGCCATCTCGCCATCCTCGTCCTCTGCCTGCCTTGATCCCGGATTTGGCTCATCTGCAGGTGACCAGAGACACTCGATGAATGCCCCAGAGAGGGGTCTACGTGTTCTGGGGGCACAAGGGGCCACAAAGTGCTGATCCTGCACTCCCTGGAGCTGTGGGAGATGCTGGTCGGGGGGCTGAAGGCCGCGTGGTCCCCCCCAGACCCTGCGTGTCTGGGGAGGAGCAGAGCCCAGAGCAGCCAGCGGAGCACGGATGCGGGCAGGGACACGGGCAGGGCTGTGAGCAGGCGAGGAGGGCACCGGGGCCGCTCACCCAGGGATTCGGGGAGGCTGTTGGGCTCCGGGGTGCTCTGTTCCAGGGCTGACTGGCTCGAGATCTGGAAGAGGACAAGCCCCAGTCATGATGTGTGTCCCTGAGGTACCTGCCCCACTGCCATGGGAGGACCTGATGGGACCTGTGTCACCCACAAGAAGGGAGGGTCCTGGGGTCTCTGCTGCCTTGGGCTGGGGCTTTTCATGTTCCCCCCCCCAACAGCTTACCAGCCACTGCACCCAGCCCATCCCATCCAGGGGGCTGGGACCACCCCTCCTCCAGTGGTACCCTCCTGCCCTCCATTCCCTGGCCTTACCTGAGACTTCCCAAGGGTTTCCTCATAGCTCACTGAGTCTCGAGGGCTCTGGCCGCTGTCCTGGACAAGAAGAGATGAAGGGAGGTGCCCTGCAATGGATGGATGGAGCTCCCCCTCCCCATCCAGTCCCCACGTACCTGCACGTGTTTGCACACCGACCTCAGGAGCTGGTACGTGGCCTCTCGCTGGCGCAGCGACACAAAGAGGAACTGCCGGGGAGCGAGAAGGGGATTTGTGCCAGAGCTGCCCCCTCGGTCACGGCCCAGAGCCCGCGGGGACCGAGGCACTCCAGATAGCCCCGGGTGAGGCTGCCCCAGCACTGTCCCCGCTCTCACCTTCTCCCCCTTGGCCGTGCGGATGCTGATTGCGTTGGGCACCAGCAGCGCCGTGTTGGTCTTTTTGAGGGCTGAGATGGAAGCGACAGGGACCACGGCCTGTGCCGGGGGGGACAGGCTGTGTCAGCGTGTTCCCGGCTGCCACCTGTGCCCCTGCCTGCGCCGCCGGCCCCACGCCCGCTCCGGCCCCACCTTGATGTCCTTGAGCAGGAGGTTGGAGTGGAAGCAGATGTGGCGGGAGGACACATAGAGGCGGCCGTGGTAGGGCATTTCTCTCTGCCAGGCACATGAGAAGCAGCCCAGCAGCACGTCCTGCTCGGCGAGCTCCCCGAAGGCCCGGCGGTAGCTGCTGTCCTGCTTGCTCAGCTGCGAGAGGTCTGGGGGTCGGTGCTCGGGGCCGCGGGCACCGCGGGCATCCTGCAGCCCCTTGCTCCATCACCACGACTGCCACGGTACCGGGACGAGCCCTCCCTCGGTCCCCGCCCCAGAGAGCGTCCAGCCGAGCCCATGGGGCTGGCGCTGGGGTCCTTCTCCTCAGCTCCGGTACCCCAAGACTCACCGAAGGGGATGGGGGTCCCTGCCTGCCCGTGGCCACCTGCTCTGTCTCCCTGCAGGAGGACTCATAGGTCCTGGATCTGGAAAGAGGCATCGGAGGGGGTGACTCGAGGGACACAGGTGGGATGTGCGGCTGGGATGCGGGATGTGACCCCACGAGGGGCAGCACCCACCTGGTGAGCTTGGGCTGCTCCAGCTGGGCCCCTCCCCTCTCCTCCAGGCTCCGCCACTGCTTCTCCCCCAGCACCTTCCGCTTGCTGCGCCTCAGCTTCCCCGGCATGAGGGATGAGTCCGACAGCCGGGAGAGAGGCGGCAGGCTGTAGGGACGGTCTATTCCTGCAGCACGGCAGATCCCAGTGTCACCAACCTATCACTCCACCGAGGAGGACACAGAGACACGGCTCAGGCCACGGCGGGACCGTGACAACAGAGCTCACCCGGTCTCATGATCCCTTTGCCTGTCCCATGGCATCATGTGCTGGCTGCGACCCCCGTGGGCAGCGGGGGCTGGGGTGGACCCCTGTATCGGCGGGTGACGGGGACAGTGATCCCCAGCCGGGGGTGCGGGCGCGGGTCACGGCCGGTGCTGGGCGCGGGAGTGCGTGGCCGGTCTGGCTCCAGAGGGGACGGGAAGGCGGCTGCGGCCCCAGACCCACGCGCGGCCCCAGAACCCCGTCCCGGGCAGGCCCCGCGCGGTACCTGCTGGGGGGCACAGCCGGGCCCCGTCCTGTCGGATCTGTCCCGCTCACACTGCTTCCAGCGCCGTTCCTGCTCCGCTGCCACCTCCTCCTCCTCCTCCTCCTCCTCCTCCTCCCGAGGAAGGGCAGCGGGCGGGGCCGGGCGGCCGCGGCAGGTTCGCAGGGAGCGGCCGGGGCAGCCCCAGCCCGAGACACCCCGGGGCTGCGCGGGGTGAGCCCCAGCCCGGCCCCCGGGGAATGCGGGACCAGCCAGCTGCCCCCCAAACCAGCTGCAAACGCACTCCTGTCCCAGCAGTGCTGAGAACCGGAGCGGCACAGCCCCAGACCCGCGGCACTCTGCGATCCTGTGGCATTTCACAGCGGGCACCCCGCAAACCCGGGACATCCCGCAGTGCCGGGACACCGCACGGCAGCGTCCGCCCGGTGCCCGCTCCCCTCCCTCCTGCCCCGGCCCCAAGGCCAGGCAGCGCTGGGGGCACGCCCGCCCCTCGCCCCGGGGGTCTCTGCCGTGGCACCCCCAGAGGGAGGTGGGGAGGGGGCACGGCCGGGCGGGGGGCGCTGGGCAGAGCCGGGACCGCGCCCCCGCCGCGGGCCCTGGGCAGGTGCGAAGGCCACGGACCCAGCCCGGCTCGGCCCCTGCTCTCTGGACCGGCGCTGATAACGCCCTTCCCGCAGCGGGGAACGCCATAAAGCCGGGCCGGGCCGGGCCGGGCCGAGGTGGGACACGGCGCGGCCCGAGGGGGCTGCGCCCCGCACGCCCAGGCTCCCGCCTGGATCCCCTTCCATTCCCCCACACCGGCCGCGCTCGGGAGTGCCCCCCTGCCCTTGGCCTCACCCTGTCACATCCCCAGCCCCCTGCAGCCCCATCACCCCACACTCGTGTCCTCTGTGCACACACGACCCCACAGCCCCCAGGGCAGGGGCTCCGTGCCAGCCCAGCCAGAGGGCACACACGGAGCTGAGTGTGGGAACAGGGCACGGACAGGTGGCCAGGGAGAACCCCTGCCATGGAGCCAGGCTGGCAGAGCTGGGGGGCTCCCCTGGACAAGAGAAGGCTCCAGGGAGAGCTCAGAGCCCCTGGCAGGGCCTGCAGGGGCTCCAGGAGAGCTGCAGAGGGACTGGGGACAAGGCCTGGAGGGACAGGACACAGGGAATGGCTGCCACTGCCAGAGGGCAGGGCTGGATGGGATCTTGGGCAGGAATTGTTCCCTGGCAGGGTGGGCAGGCCCTGGCACAGGGTGCCCAGAGCAGCTGTGGCTGCCCCTGGATCCCTGGCAGTGCCCAAGGCCAGGCTGGACAGGGCTGGGAGCAGCCTGGGACAGTGGGAGGTGTCCCTGCCATGGCAGGGGTGGCACTGGATGGGCTCTGAGGTCCCTCCCAGCCCAAACCATCCCAGGGGTTATGGAGAAACCCCCGGCACCCTCCTGCTCACAGCCAGTGTGCACACAGCACAGCCCTGCACACGCATGGGGCATACTCAGGTATGGACACACACACACACAAACACAGTCACACACTCACACACAGACACACACACAGAGTCACACACACACACAGAGTCACACACACACAGTCACACACTCGCACACACAGTCACACAGACACACAGTCTCACACACACACACAAAGTCACACACACACACAGTCACACATACACAGTCACACAGTCACACACACACACACACACACAATCTCACACACACACACACACACACACACAGAGTCACACACACACAGTCACACACAGTCTCACACACAGTCACACACACACTCACAGTCACACATACACAGTCACACACACAGAGTCACACACTCACAGTCACACATACACAGTCACACAGTCACACACACACACACACAGTCACACACAGAGTCACACACTCACACACACAGTCACACACACTGACACACAGTCACACACTCACACACACACACACACTGACACACTCTCACAGTCCCCGCCCCCGCCGCGCACGGGCAGCCCCCATTGGCTGTCCCGTCCCGGGGGCGGGGCCCGGCGCACGGACCAATCCCTTGTCCGCAGCGCTGCGCGCGCTCCGCTCGGCGCGCGGGGCCGCCATGGCCGCTGAGGGGCCGTGCCCCCCCCACCCCCGGCCCTCAGGCCGCCCCTCTGCCCGGGGCCGGGCGGGAGCAGCGCTGGGCACGCCCCGAACCCCCCCAAACCTGCTCCAAGCCCTGCTGTGGGTCCCGCAACCCAGAGCGGAGCCCACCCCCATCCCGGGGCCGTCAGCGCTGCCGTTGGTTTCTTTCTCTTTTTCTCCTCCTTTTTCTCCTCCTTTATAAAGTGCCGTTTGTACGTATTGACCTTACAAAAGCAGGTTAAAACCTCGGGCCGAGCGCTCCCCTCTTCTGGGGCCGCCCCGGCCTGGCCTAGGCCCTTTTAGTGTTCATTGTGCAGGTGAGAGGTGACAGGTGACCCTGCACCAGTGACACCGCACCGGGGACAGCCTTCATGGGCCCAGTGGGGCCTGGGACACCGGAGTCCAGGATGGGGACATAAGGTCAGGGTGGGAATACGAGTCCAGTGCAAGGAGATAGGGTGGGGTCACCCCCTCCCCAGAGCCCAGTGGCCCCCAGTGCAGGGGGACCCTCCAGACTCAGAGTGTGGCACCGCAGTGGCCCAGGACGTGGTGGCCGAGGACACAGCCCTGAGGAGACAGCCCTGAGGACACGGTGGCCAAGGACACAGCCCCACTCAGTTGACGGTGCCGCTCTGGCTCTCTCCCTCAGTGCTCCCAGTGCCACTTTCAGGGGTCCTTGTGCTGATCAGCCCCTCCAGGCCCACAGTACCTGGAGGAAGAGGAGGAAGGGACAGGTCAGGAGAGATGGCAGAGTGGGGTGATCCTCATGTGCTGGTCTGGCCCTCCTGGACTCTTCTGCTAGCACCAGGGGCCTGACCCAGCAGGGCCCCCAGCAGCACGAGGGGTCTGTCCTGTTCCCCCACCCCACAGCGAGGCACTGGCACCCCAAGAGGCAGAACAGGCACTGAACAGAGGTGCTAGCTCCCCAGCCTGGCACCCCACCACCCCCACATTTGCTGCCACACCCTGACACCCCTTGGAGCCCTGAGACCAGCATGGCCATGACTGGGCCAGGGGGATGTTGCCCCCCAGAAGGGCACAGCAAGCAAACACAGCCCCTCTTTGGGGGCAGCAGGGAAGTTGGACAATGGCCCTGCCCTGTGTCCTACCAGGAGGGCTCCCCTGCAAGCACGGCCACAAGCCAGCCCGGTAATGACAGCGCTCCCACCACTCCCCCACTGCAAAGACTCTGTGGCTTTAGCCCAGGCTGGCACTGACCACAGGGCTCCCAGTGCCCCCAGCCCCACATTGGGCTGTTCCCAAGCCCCCAGCCCCACTCACGGCAGCGGATCCGGATGGGCCACACCATGATGGAGCACAGCGTGGTGACAGCGGCAACGGCGATGCCACCGGTGACCAGCACCATCACCCAGCGGTAGAAGTCAACACAGGCAGGGCAGCAGAGCTCGGTCCTGTGAGGACAGGCAGGAATGTGCCTGGAGGCCGGGACTGAGGTCTCAGGCTACATGCAGTGGTCCCATGTCCTCACATCAGAGTGAGGACCGGTTTGCACTGGGGTGCAAGGGAAAGGCCCAGGGCAAGGATATCCCCAGGTATGGCTTGGGCCCTCCAAGGCTGGGAGAGAAGGTGAAGAAGGGTTTAAGACAAATCAGAGCTGGACAAGAGAAGGCTCCAGGGAGAGCTCAGAGCCCCTTGCAAGACCTGAAGGGGCTCCAGGAGAGCTGGAGAAGGACTTGAGACTAGGCCTGGAGGGACAGGACACAGGGAATGGCTTCCACTGCCAGAGGGCAGGGATGGATGGGATATTGGGCAGGAATTGTTCCCTGGGAGGGTGCCCAGAGCAGCTGTGGCTGCCCTATCCCTGGAAGTCTTCCAGTCCAAGTTGGACAGGGTTTGGAGCAACCTGGTGTAGTGAAAAGTGTCCCTGCCCATGGATGGGCTTTAAGGTCCCTTCCAATCCAAACCATTCTGGGATTCTACAAATCCAGGCTGGTTCCCTTCCGTGTCTCTTGCTCCAACCCTGAAATGTTTCCTCATGGCCCTCAGGCACTGGGGGTCCCAGCTCTGCAGAGACACTTACGGGCAAGGGTGCAAATTCTGGATCATCATCACAGCCAGGCCATTGGCCATCTTGTCTGTGAAGCTCATGGCACCGTAGACAAATGCGCTGCTGTGCTGCGGGAGGAGAGGGAACCCTGTGCCGTGCTGGGCCATGCAGCCCGGTGTGCCCTCTCATGGGCAGAGCCCTCACTGCAGCAGAGCCCGGGGCACAGAACACGGGGGCCCAGCAGAGCCCCCTCCCAGCGCCTCCATCCCCTAACCCTGACCAGTGCCCACTCCAGATCATGGGTTCTGTGCCCACCGTGGCCCCCCACTCCATCCCAGCAGGAGCAGCGGCCGTACCGTGTTGGTGCCGATGAGATCTGCAGTCATAGACAGGGAGGTGACCAGGATGGTGGCTGAACCGGCCCCGAGCAGCACCGCCAGCCCGTAGATCTCGTCTCCTATTTGCCTGGCCAGGGCCACCCAGGAGGCAAAGGCCAGGACCACCAGGATGCCCACAAAGTAAGTCAGCTGTGATGGGGACAGGCACAAGGGGGAGTTCAGACATCAGCTGGCACTTGGTGAGGGAGGAGCAAGCAGGGAGGGCATGAGGCCAGCATTGCCCAGGAGCCATGAGGGACAGCCCTGGCTCTGTCCAAGCTGTATTTAAACAAGGAGACCCCAAAAGCAAGTCCTTGCTGTGCTCCAGGAACACTCCACTGGTACTCAACAGCACAGAGGGGACACTCTGTGGGAGCAGGTCCCTTCTGCAGGCATTGCAGACTGTGTGCCCACCCAGGCCAGTGTAACCAGACTCCCCTTCTACCCCTGATGGGCACCACAAGGCTCTGCAGCCCAGTCAGGCCTGCATGGACATGGTAACTCTGGGCCAGCGTTGCGTTCCCCACCCTGAGGGATGTACAAGACAGGCTCCTGCCACCATCCCTGCCCACTGCCCCCAGTCCCAGCAGGACCCACACCCCTACCCACCACTCCCAGTCCCAGCAGGACCCAGATCCCCATCCCTACCCACCACCCCCAGTCCCAGCAGGACCCATGCTGCAGTGGGTGGTTGCTGGCAGAGGGTCCATGAGGGGTCCCTGCTCTCCAGCTCAGGTGTGCCAGGAGCTTTGCTCACAGCCAGGATTTGACCCCTGATCCTTTCCTGGGGTCAAACTCCAACCTCTCCAGCATCCTGGACTCACATTCCGACCAATCCATTTGTTCACAGGCTTCATGAGGAATGAGGAGAGAAACCCACTGACGTACATCACTAGGGGAATGGTGGCAATGTACTTCTGCAAGG